GTTGAGATTTATGTTTCTGCAAACTAATTTGAATAATTTGCATTCAGTGGCTGCTGGTTTGGTGCAGTAATGATGTGCAATTTACAGAAGAGTTCTGAAGTTATTTCCTTGATGGCTTTTCTATTGATGAAAAAAATACAGCGTTCCTTCGCTTTGATACTCAGGAAATGCGTGCAGTGAAGCATTTCTGTAATTATGATCAAAATACTATTTTGGTTTTCGGTGAGCGTGCAGACCCTTTTATAGTTGTTCACCTAATTGTTTTTTGGACTCTAATCCCCTGAACTCTGCATACTTCAATGAGTTGTTTATATGGTTTTTGAGTTCGCTCTGCTATAAAACATATTTTTACCATTATCGAATGACATTCCTGTTTTTTTAAATGATGGGGAGATGCACAGCAGTGGTCGCAAGGCTGTCTAACAGAGTGCAACGTGCTTACAATCCAGTCATTTTGATTTATTTTTGATGAACAATTTACAATGACAGATAGCTTATTAATAAAGATGTATCTACATCTGGTACTTGCCTGTCTCTTGTCCTACATATGTAGGTTATCTCCTTTGTCTGTTTCTTGTGTTGCTGTAACACTTCCTTTTAGCCTTGAGGATCAATGAAGTCTTTTTAAAATTATGTTAATCTAATCTAATGGCACCCAGTAGTTCAAAATCTGGAGTTATTTTGGCATTTAAAGTGCGCTGGTTTGGTTTACAAATGCATTGCAGATGAACACTGCCTAACTACAGATGGTAGTGGAAAACTGGACTTAACTTACTGTGTGTATTTTTATGCAGAAATAGCAAACTATTATGTTTTAGGTGTCAAAAATGTTTATTTTTATTTTAAAACTGTAGATATTCATCAGGTTGTTATTACAGTACTTGCTCACAAGGCCCTTTATCCCTTTAAGGAACAACTACTTAAAACTTACTGAAAGCTACTTAAACCACTATAAATAATAATATATATATTAACATCTGGTCCAAAGACTACGTGTACAGTATGTGAAGGGATTAGTGACAAAAGCCTTTTCCCTCAGTTCTACAGAGCCTTTGTAACATCTTTCTGCTCACTGTTTTGTTCTCCACTTTCACTGCTCTTACCAGCATCATTTCTGGATGCAGAAGGCAGCTGTTTTAAGTAAAAGCCTCTGATGTGTGCACTATTTGCTAAAAACTCTAGTTGGCCACTATAATTAAGGTTTAAATTTCAGGCTACCTACTATTTGGTGAAAGGATAGCACAGGAAAATGTGCTGGTGCTGTAAATGAATTTAAAATTTCACCAGATTTTATCTGAACACTTTTGAAAGGAGGATGTAGGTTCCTCTTTAACAGCAGAAGATGACTTGTTGCTTTTTCTACACCTGTGATACACTGTTCAGATCACCATCAAAGCCACATCACCAGAGCAGATTATTGAATTGAATCTCAGAATTGAAAGAACTGAGCTCTCCTTCAGCACTCCGATAAAGTAAACCCTGTATTGCAGAACCACTATCATCTGTTTAGATCAGGCATTCACACAGTGAGTATTTTCTAGTTGATTGTGTTCATATATATCGTTCAATCTTCCTTTAAACATGTTCAGAAAAGCCGACTCTCAAAGCAGGACCGGACTCCCCATCAGCAGTTTCAAACAGACGGATACCAATAAGCGATCTTGTTACTTAATGTCTCTCTTGTTCTAATTTCACCACAGGCCACAATTTACTCTGTCCAACCACGTCAAAAGGCTGTGGCTGCAAAACATCTAAATAAAAATTACAACCAGGTTTAAGCCTGACAGCCACTAGAGGGATTCCAGTATTGCTAAATGTGTTGGGGGGGGGGACAAATTAAAACCTTGTATCTCAATAGAGTCATCTCAGCTGGAACAAAAGCTATTTCTTGCAGTCTGAGAACTTTTGTTTTTACCATTTCAGCTCGCTTGACATTTAGTTACACAAAGGATAAAAGCATGTGAGATTAAAACCTACATAGAGACACAATATTACAGTTACAAAGACTTCACGAGTACCATGAAGAACAATCTTCATGGAAACTACTGAGTTTGATCAGTAAAAATATAACTTCAAAAAATACAAAATAGTATAATTGAAAAAACAAAATGATAAAAAATGAAATAAAACCTTACATTTTGCAATGTTGGTGCATTTCATGTCACAAATTAGGAGTCCACACTGTCATCCATGCATCATATTTCCTATTCTGGCTAACCACTTTCATTTTAGGCTTTTAGCTGACGGTGCTCCTACCCTGATCAACTTACAAACAGCAGCAGGATTTAGTGTCTTGCTCAAAAGTACTTCAGAGATGGCTCCATTAACTGCTGCATAGATCAAACCTGTGACCTTTCCTTTATGGGTTCTTTCTAACCATTAGGCCACCCTGACTGCTGGAAAGACAAAACACTCCTGGTACAGAGACATGAGGTTGTCGTTCAAAAGCGGTGTGCACGTAATACTTTCGGCATGTGTTCATGCTGCACTTCATCAGGGAATGCTCTCTTTTCAATAGGGATTCGGACTGATGATCTTTAAATGATTTCCTGGGCAAAATATGAAATGCTTTTGAAAGTGTATGTAGAAACATCATGAAGAGACTTGTCAAAGAAACATCTGGGGTTCTTGTACTGGTGTCACCCAAAGAACCCCAAAAGCTCTTTTACTTTTTAGAGTGTACAAAAACAAAGTTTTTCTTCAGTACATAAAACTGCATCTTTGATCTGGTAATGAAGGGTGCAGTGAGTCAGTCAGTAAATCAGATTTACTTTAGAAGAAAATTAGTCTAAATAGAGACATGGCATTAAACATTAAAGTTGCTCTGGATAAAGGGGATGGAGAGACACTGCAAACACGAGAGGATAACATGCAACAAAGGTTGTGAGTCAAAGTCAAAGCCACAACAGTACGACCACATGCTGTGCACTTCTGGCCTACGGAGCTAATACACTTAAATATATGTATGTATTGAAATAAAATGAGCATTTTATTTATCTTATACGCAATGTGGCCACTTCTGAGGCAATCAAATTATCTGTTTATTTTTATTGTATTTTTAGTTCGAAGGAAACACTTTAATCCTACAATTGCTGCTGAAGTTGTAAATGTAATATTTAAATATATATAAAGGTATTCATAGATTTCACTTTAGTAGAGGTTGCACCCTATACTTCATGCTTGCTGAACTTTTAAGAGAATTAGCTTGTTAAAGAAAACAAAGAAATAAATCATTTTCATAATGAGGATGTTTGCTTTCAAGTGATATCGTTTACCAAACCCTGTCTCCTAGAAAATTACATTTATATGCCACTAATTCGCAACAGCAAATACATTTTGAAAGACACATAATGCCGCCCAGATTACATGTTTTTATCAGTATAACGAGGAAATGTTGTTAATTAACATTTTTGCCAAGTCGCAAATTGTTGATACTGAACATATTAGCAACATTTTCACAAACAACTTCAATTTCATTTTCAGTATCCGCTCTTGGAATACACTCCACTCGTAACAACTAAAGCATGATAACACTTTTCTTATGGTTATGTTTAGGCACTCGCAGCACTCTGCTACAGTCCGGGAAACTGACTTTCCCAAGTTTAACCCACGTGTTTTTGCTGCTTAAGCGACATGCAAGACTGAGGATGCAAACGCCAGATTTTGTTGTCAAAGTCCTACACTTTGTACACCTGCCATCCACCCCGACTCGTGCGCAGTAAGTGATATAGAGGTACAGATCACAGTGTATATCATTTTAAAATTAAGGCTGTAACATATATTGTTGAGAAATCACTTAGATAAAATGAAAATGTGTTTTTGACTAATGCAGTGCATTTAATGCAAATCAAGGTACAAATCAAGGAATCCTGTTAATTTAATATTGTAATTATAGAAACCTGCTCATTGATATAATTATAGATATTACACATCTGTATGAAAACGACCAGAATGTCTACTAGCAGACAAATCTCTATCACCTCACAGTATACTGTATTGTCATATCGTCCAGCTCCTACAGATACAGAATTGCTGACTGATCAGTTACAGGTCCGTGTCACAGTCTTGCTTATCTGATTGGAATGAATGGATATATCCGGCTGGCAACAGGCTGGGGGTAGTACTGTAAAGGCTCTCTCTTCATGCAGGATAGATAAATGCATACATTTATTACTTGTACATATGTAACCAGATATGTTGACTAGCAGTCCCTCCTCTTTCACAATAACTATAAAGTTGGCTCTTCCACAGGTGTTATGCTGACAGGTGGTTATGAGAGAAACCAACCAAAATCTTCACCACCTAACACCTAAGGGGGAGATGAACTGTAGATAATGAGAAGCAGATTTTTGAAGGGTTATGTAATATTAAAGCATCCCATATACATATATATTAGCAGTAATCAAACATTTCTGAAAGCTTGGAAACAAATGCCTGTATATTTGGGAAAAAGTAGGGATGATTCATCCAATATCCTTTATTTTAACAGGCCTAACCTAAGAGTTTGATTGGCCTTATACACATACACTATATCTATAACTACACTGTCTTTAATACAACCGCTTCATCTCAGACTTATGAATCACAGATTTCCTACGTACCTGACTACTTACCTAAACAGGCGCAACAAATCGATTGCAAAACATGGTAGGCTATAATCAAATTTTAAACTCTCAGCTATGCTCTTCTCGAGCTGTTTTTGTCCTCTCAGGGTGGTCAAATTAAGTTTACTGACTGCTTGCATTTAATAGGATTGCCACAGAAAACAATGCTGCCCAGAAAAGACGGATAATAAAAAGAAGAGACTGAACAACAATAGATAGAGCCAGGAGGAGGGGGCTAAAGATCAAGCTGGAAATATGGAACCACTTAGGCCCTGAAAGCACACCCTATAAAGGGTTAAAGATGGCTACGGGATAAGTGGAGCTCGTTTATCGCAAATTTGACAGTGGTAGTTAAATGGTGAGTTTTCCCTCCAAGCTGCCAGTCTGGGGAAGCAGACAGGGCTCTCTGCTCTCCTCACCTCCGTTCTTTCGAAGTCTCCTGTGCTCTTATTTTGTTGTGTATGTCTCCTCATCTTAGCCCGAAATCTTCTGCGTGAATCAGGACAAAGGAGAAGAGGATTTTCTCTTTTGTCTCTCCTCTATTCTCTCACCTTTACACTCATTTTCATTTTCATCGCTGCTTTGGGCCTACAAGATTATCTTCTCCAATTCATCTCCATCCTTCCCATCATCTTTTAAACCCCTCTGCCTTTGCCCTTTTCCCTTCTTGTCTCATTCTGTCCCTCACTGTGGAAGTAAATCTTCAACCTGCCACCCCTGGAGACCTTGCAGATGTTCGCAGCCCGGCGCTGAAGCGGGCGCTCGCCAGCAGCCCAGATGCATTTGCGACTCTTTGCCATTGTCATATCCTTGCTATGTGAGGTGATCAGGATGGGGTCTGGTGTCGTGCAGAAGCAAAGTGGTGAGTACACTTAAAGAGTCTTTAAAGGGGATTTTGGGGTTGCACCTTTAAAATAAAACTTTCTGCAGTCACTTGTTGTAAACTTTCTCATCTCTGACTGGACTCTGCACATTGTGCAAAATGTAAAAATGCAGCATTGTCATTATAAAATAGATCCACTACAATTCCACAGTGTGGTGTATTTACAAATAACTTGAGGAGACAGTCCAACATAACATTTTAAAAAAGTTTTTTTTTTTTTCAAATAAAATGTAAATTAGAATTGCAAAAGTAACCACATGTTTAGATAGCAAGAAAAAGAGTTGAAGCTGACATCCTTCTCATTCAATATTTTTATAATAAAAGAGCAAAAACAGGTTTCTTAGAACAGGATGTCTCTTCACTATATGCCGTATTGTTAGGAGATTTAAAATGTAAGAAACTTAAAAAAATGTATTTATCTGACCTAATCCAGGATAAATGGCAGTAAATGTAGAGGAAAAGGTTCAGTGTCTTGCTCAGTAGCCCCACAGCATAAACACTGACCAATAATATTTGTCATAACAGCTTTTCCTTCCAGTGCTCCAAATCCAGGAATCAAACCATTTCTCCGCAGGACAAGTTGACTCTGGATAATTTTTTCCGCATGTCACTCAGTTATCTGAATTGTCATGTCGCTCCTTGTTAAACTCTGTACCAGCAGACACTTCACAGTGGTTGGAGATTCTCCTCAAATCCAGATTTATGGCTAATTAGTCCTTATAAAATCCAACTGCTCCCCCCTCCTCCTCACCCCACCCCGCCTCCCCAAAAGAAAAAACAGTCCTGACCACAGCCATACAGGTATGCGGTGACCCTCACGCTCACCAGCGTCTGGCATTTCCTCAAGAATTTAAGACTAATAGAGGGGGATCCGGTCTCAATTACACCATCATTTTGGCTTCCCACATTTCCACACAGTCCCCGTCAGCCGGCCAGAGGTGAGACGTTAGATAATGATTAGAGGGGCTGCGTGGAGCCATTAGGAACCACTGACTCTCATTCAAAATAACAGCTTGTGACAGCAAGATTACTGTTTCAAATTTAGCAGGTTTAACAAAGTCAGACCGACAGTTACCAAAAGAAGAATACATATAATACAACTTTAAAATTTATAATAAAATATTGGAATCATAATTCTAATGAATAGGCTAATATAATATTAATAACTCGTCATAAAGGCATCTACTGCTAAAAAGACTAGAATTACAGAAGTCTTACAAAATAACTGCTGATTCAAAATTACATAATTTTCTGGAAATCCAAGAATGATATATGTTAAAAACTACTGACTGAAATATTGCTCATTTATTACAAGTCAGTATTTAGGTGATTAGGCAACTTAAAATACTTCAAAATATTAAGTAATCATGTATTTAGCATGACAGTGTGTAAAGTTGTAAAAAATCTGAATTGTTGGAAAATAATTGTCGCTTAAAATTATACAAAATTACTCCTGAGTCTTGGATGAAGGCATTTGATGCTAATAGATCAGAACAGCTTGAAGTTAGATATCAATTTTAGGTCTACAGATCAAATGCTGGTTGTGGGCACAACAGATTGACCCGCTGTCAGAATTCATCATTTCACACCAGAGATTTACAACCCCCCAAACCCCCTTTTTCCACACACAACTGGTTTGAAGTATCTCAGAGCGGGAAAACTGTAGAATTTAGGAGGTTGAACCCATTATTAGTGCTATTCATGTTTCTGTAAGATTCTGTAAGGTTACTCTAGGTAATTGGGAGCACATGTAACTGTTTTACACGAGAATTCAGAGGGAGTGAGAAAAAAAAAACTAATCAAAATGTGAGATAAATGCTTCCCTGGTTAAGTAGAGACAGATTCAAATACCGTCAATCTGCTGTTTTTTGCACATACTCCTCCTACTATTCGGGTTAACGTGGTGGTCCAATCCATAACCACTCAACAATTATAATACATAACTCAGATTTCACCATTTGCCTCTTAATAATAAATACTCAGAGCTGATTATATTGAGTATTTGGTGTTGTAAACAGCACTGAGCAGTGTCTAAATGTTTAAAAGTAGAGCTTGTGGACATTATTTTGCAAATTATTACAAATATATCTGTCCCCAAGTTAAAGTTTTGTAATTGGTTCATTTTTTTTCTATCAAGTAAAAACATCAAAACTTTTTGCTGATTGTCACGCTTTAATTTTGAAAAGACAATATGCAATAACTGGAGCAAATCTTGTGGATGCCTTAAATATTTCCTCGAGGAACTAACCATTTCAGTTTTACAGCAGACTGTATGGGCTTGATTCTGAAAAGAAGAGTGTGTTTCAGTTATTTATTTGTGTTTAATCTTATGCATTTACCTCATATACCTCCGAGGTTCAGGTGGGAAGTTCATCTTGGGCGCAAAATGCAAAGAGACTTAAGAGGGAGTGTAATCAGGTACAGGTGTTGTAGCTGGGGGAAGCATAGTTTCTGGCTGTGCTCATGTTTGTGCACCGTGTGGAAAAGTTTGAACTTTACAGCAATAATGTTAGGTGAGTTTAGAAATCATTTCTAAAATAATCTTGTTTAAATGCACATTAAAAATAAATCAGTCTTGTGTTTTGCAGTCCACACAAACAACCAAAGGACATGTTGTCTAGCTGGGGAATCAAGACAATATGTGGGAGGTGTGGTTGTGTGTGTTTGTGCAACAGCTCAGACGGTTGATGTCAAAACATCAGCAACAGTTTCCTTTTATTTTCCAGCAAGACCCTCTTTGATTCGCTAGTCTCTCTGTAAATGTATTGAGAAATACTTGCACAACCGAAACATTACATGCCGGCTTTGCTTAAAGGTCCAGTACGTAGGATTTAGTGACATCTAGCGGTGTAGTTACAGATTGCAACTCACTTCACTCTGCCTTTCGAAGCCCAAAGAATTAGGGGTAGTAGGATGGAGAAAGGAGAAATTACGGTGATGGCGCAATGTGACAAAATGTTACAAACTGGACCTTTAATTGTAAGTTAAGGCTGGCCCATGATGATTTTTTACACAGAACCATCTGCGAAGTAAACATTGGAAGCCGTTGTAGAAAAGGACGGTCGCTTTCAAAAAATACTTGGCAGGTGATTGGATGTCCATCCATCTATCAGCGCACTTTAACCAATCAGATCAACGAATCATATAACGTAGTCAAACTCCTACCGAAGCCAGTCGGGAGAGGTTCAGTGCTGTTCTTTGCTCTTCTTACAATGAAGAAATACTCTCCAGTTCTGATATAACTGATGCTAGCAGCATCTACATTAACCATTGTTGATTTCGTGTCCCTTTTCACAAACATCGTCACACACACCGAGCATTAAACCTCACCCATAGCTCATGTCTTACTGCCAGTAGTTCTTCTAAGGACACAGATTTGTCTGTAACCACAGTGTTTGGACACAAGCACATAGCTTGAAGCCTGGCAAGATGGATTCTCTCATGATTTTGGGATTTCACGCAAAGTTAACATTCAAGACCTGAATTATCGGTTCACCTCAGATTCGTTTCACATGTTATTTTCCATTTGCACTTATACACTTAAGTTTCAGCACCTCAGCATTGTCCTGTGAGGATTTTTGGATTTACAATGGGGCATCAAGGACTATCTGAAGAACTAAATGTGCAGAAAAAGCAATCCATGTAAACTCAGTCAAAAACAAAGTCATGAAAGAAGGTGGCCTTCAAGTAGCCAGAAACCGCTAAATAATGTGTTGATGTGTTGAACTTCTGGTTTCATTTTATTTACCATCAAGGTTGACAAATCTGCTCAACTGTTTTTGCGTGAAGCCCTTCTCAGCGAATGTATGACAGCAGTGATCTCTCTTTAAAGGACACATCACGTCATCACCAATCAACAGAAAACAATAGCAGCTGTGAGAAGATCCAGACCAACTATTGACAGACTTGTTGGGAAACAACATAGAGCAGATATGACAGACAAAATATTATGTTTGCATTGCTGAGAAAAACTAGACAGTGACCTACCATAAACAACACAGAGAGCATTTTTATTTATTAGACAGGTTGCAGTGTAGCTCCTCCACCAGGTGGTGGCTCCTTCATGTTTGTAGTGTAATAATACTAAAGATCAAATGTATCTGTATGTTGAGGTATGACACCACAGACATAATCTCTTAACAAGCAAACTGCGTCTCAGGGGAAGCTTCTTTCACTCGACACATTGGAGAAACCTATCACTCAGAGTCTGCGGTGTGAATATGAAGATGTAACAGAAGCCCTTCTAACTTCACTCCAGACAGATTTTAGAAGTCAAGAGGTGAAAAATTTGTCCAACAACAGCACATCTTCAACGCAACTGGTATCAATTGTGTGGACGTCCACACATGTCATTAGGGACAACACATCTTGTGTTATTTTAACACGTCACCCCACCTGGCACGATTTCTTGTTAATGTACACATTATGGTGCATTGTGGGTATTTTGGCTCCATCTACAGAAGCGGCAGATGCTGTATGTTACCAGTAAATCACACCCTAAAACCGAATTCTTGCTATTTCTACTAGGTAGGATAATCCCACCTGAGCTCACCTAAGATAAGATAAGATAAGATAAGATGTTCCTTTATTGATCCCCCTTGAGAGAAATTCTAAATTGACACCTTTACCTCTCCTTTACCTCTGTGATCTTTTCATTTGCAACACATAAATTAAAAAAAAAAAAAAAAGAATTGAATGACCTGAATGTGACTTCTATTTTTGTGTAAATGAGATATTAAGGTAAGATTTCCTGTCATGAGAGTAAAACTCAAAATGCTTTGGAGAAGCAGAAGTTTTATTATTGTTGGAAAAACAAATTAATATATTTGGCTTTTTTCAGTTTTAATGTCACAACTTGGCGGCTTGTCCATCAAACAATTAGAAAACATGTATCCTGAGACTGTATTGGCTTCTTTCAATATTTGTTAAATCATCTTTCGTACCTTTCTCAACATTTGTTACATTGCATGTTGCATTGT